TGGGATATATCCAGAACAGGGTGTTGATAACTCTATATTACTGAACCGATTTTCACTTATCTCGTTGGAAGACCGAAGAAATTATTACTCGTGTCTATTTATTTATAAGCTCACTCATTATTTTGTTGATTGTCCAGATCTTTTGTCTCAGCTCAATTTTCTTGTACCTCGTATGAACAACAGAAACGAATTATGTTTTTATCTAACAACGCCAAGAACAAATATCCTAGCAAAATCCCCTATTTATATGATGTGTAAGAATCTTAATGATGTCTGCGACAAAATCGATCTCTATTCAACTAAAATTGGCTGTTTTAAAAGTAACTTAAGAAACCTCTACCACTAACTAAATACTCAAGGTAATAATAATTGATGTATTATCCTATATCTATTCACTTATTTCTATTATGAACTGTGTTTATTCTGTATTTGCATGTCCTGTAATTGGGTGCCTCACCTGTTTGGACAATAAACGTTTTTTTTTTTATTATTGTCTCCTGCACTTATAATAATTCTTTCATCTGCACTTATAATAATTCTTTCATCGTATTATCATTACCTGGAGCAGAATTCTTATTCATTTCCACTAAAACCTCTCTTACTTCGTGAATCGTGAAGGTACAAAGAATTTTTTATGTTGATTTCATCAAAATGATGTTGAAGTGGGTTACCTAAGAGTTTCGCATTGATTTTATTGACGATCGAATGACCTATATCACAAAAATATTTGTTGAATTTATTTCCAATTTCCATTTTATCTGTTATTAATGTTTTATCAACCTCGATTATATGTGCACTCGTTTGTTCCTTTTCATGTTTTATTAGGCTATTTATGAAGTTCCATTGTTTCTTTGGATTTTCCTCAGTATCATTCCATCTTTTTCTGAAAAAATTCGTTTTTAATTTTCTTTTTTCATTTTCAAATTGTTTTTTCTTATTTTTGAAGTCCCCTAGTATTTGTTGATCCTGTGGGAATTTTTTCATTAGTTTGTTTAATTCCTATCTTCTTTTCAATTGGTCTAAAAACGTGGGAGTTATCCAATCATTATTTTCCCTAATTTTCATTTTAATTGTTTTTGTCGCCCTACTTTTAGCTTCTTGTATGAGTTTGGTCAATGTTCCGAATGTATCAACTGGTATAGAATTTTCTAGTAGATTTTTCAAATTCTCCTCATATTTTGAGTTATCTAGTTTCTCGAAAGTTTTTTGAGTTTTACAATTGCACTTTTTAGTTTTTGAATACAATTCTACTTCTATTAGATTATGATCAGAAATTGTGCTGTATTCAATGTTTAGTTTACACTCTCCGATATTACTTGTTGCTAAAACATGATCAACAATGATGGTATGTGAGTTTTGTGTAATTCTGGTTGCATATTCTATACCTATATTGTTTTGGATCTCAAATCCATTCAATACAACACAATTTTTGATATTCACTAGTGGTCTCAGTATTATCTAATAAATTTATATTAAAGTCTCCAATTATCAGTGTTTTTTCCACCTGTTGTAGTATATCCTCTAATATGTCCAGGAATTCCTTCACATTGAATGATGGTGGTCTATACAGGGTGTTTCATAATTGAATGATGATCCTAAAGGGCGATAATCCTTGGATGATTTTAAGAAAAATTTTTCATGTGAACATAGGTCCGTAACAGCTTCGTTTCTGAGATACAGGATGTTGAAATTTAACAAAAAAATCAGTTATTCCCCAATATCTCTGAAAACGCTCTGGCTTTTTTCTTCAATTTTGGTACATGCCAAGAATGCATAGAAATATATTTTTTCCGTAATAAAGGATTACTTAATTTCCATCAGTGGCGTCCCTATTAACATACCCTGTCATATTTTTCATCAAAATAATGATACGTCACTGTCTTTTTTCCAAATGAATATTATTTTTGGAATACTCCAGGAATCTTCCAAAGAGTACGCGAGTCCATGAGAAGGAGGGCTGAAACGTGCATACTTGTAGGAGGAGTACATGATTTTGGTATTTATTTTGTTCTTAATAGTTATGTTTTTAAAAATAAAAATGTAATTTTATGCGTACTCATTACAAAAACTTAAAAATACTTGAATTGAAATTATAAAAATATTGCTCAGATCTTTTGGTTACCACAATTGTGAAATTAAGACTAAGAGTAAAAATCGAATAGGGACAAGCAAATGAATGCATTTTATTTTCTAACTCAAAAACCGTTCACCGGACGAAAAAAAGACAAGAGACCATTTTTATGAGAAGATAGAGAATCATCACAAAAATAATATTTATTTTGAAAAAAGACAGTGGCGTATCATTATTTTGATGAAAAATATGACAGGGTATGTTGACAGGGACGCCACTGATGGAAATTAAGAAATCCTTCATTATGGAAAAAATGTATTTCTATGCATACTTGGCATGTACCAAAATTGAAGGAAAAAGCCAAAGCGGTTTCAGAGATATTGGGGAATAACTGATTTTTTTGTTATATTTCAACATCCTGTATCTCAGAAACGAAGCTGTTACGGACCTATGTTCACATGAAGAATTTTTCTTGAAATCATCCAAGGATTATCGCCCTTTAGGATCAGCAATCAATTATGAAACACCCTGTATAATGCTATAATTTTTACACCATTTACCTGTAGATTCACCCCAACCATGTTGTATTGACTGTCGCCAGCAACATTGTTCATCTCGATGAACTTGATATTTTTTCTGATGTATATTGCAACTCCTCCAGGTCTCGTATCTCTACATGCATGCACAGCTGAATACCCATTTATCATGAATTGGTTTACTTCATTCTTATATAGCCAGGTTTCCACGATTACTAATATATCATAGAATTTTAACTTCACAAGACATTGTAGCTCCTCCAATTTGTTTCTGAGACTTTGTGCATTTAAATATAAGATTTTTAGTTGTGATTGTGTTGTTTGTTTGATATTTTCATTGGAATTTTTCAGTTTTTTAGATCACTGGTGTCTTCGACTGGCTGTACTGGACTATTTTCATCTTTGCGTATACAGAGTGGGCCTTTGAAAACGAAACAGAGGCTCTGTAGGTCGCCAAAACCGGATTATGAAAAGAATCTGAAACACGTCAACTACGTTTTCGAGGGGGACATCGTCCTACAATATTTTCAGCCCTGCGGCGTTGCCGCTGCTAACGAAAAGAAGCATCAACTTTGTTATTTCAAATGGAACACCTTGTATTTCATTGCATTTTTAGATTCTCCCCGAAGAGCTGATTTCATCAATGCATCACACTTGGGGTCTAGCTGTAATGGTTTCAGGGATATAAAGTGTTCAAAATCGAGATTTTTCAACTATGACATTTTTTTGTGTCGAAACTATTCATTATTGGTCGAAACGGCTCTCATGTCCCTATCTCAACTTGTGATTTACTATCTACTGACATTTAACTGGAACAGATACAGGGTGATCAGAATTCTGAATCTTGAACCACCCTGTATTTGTTTCAAATAAATGTCAGTAGATAGTAAATCACAAGTTGAGATCGGGACATGAGAGCCGTTTTGACCAATAATGAATAGTTTCGACACAAAAAAATGTTAAAGTTGAAAAATCTCGATTTTGAACACTTTATATCCCTGAAACCATTACAGCTAGACCCTAAGTGTGATGCATTGATGAAATCAGCTCTTCGGGGAGAATCTAAAAATGCAATAAAATACAAGGTGTTCCATTTGAAATAACAAAGTTGTTGCTTCTTTTCTTTAGAAGCGGCAACGCCGCAGGGCTGAAAATATTTTAGAAAGATGTCCCCCTCGAAAATGTAGTTGACCTGTTTCAGTTTTTTTTGATAATCCGGTTTTGGCGACCTACAGAGCCTCTGTTTCGTTTTCAAAGGCCCACTCTGTATAGATTTCCCATGATTTATCCAGGCAAATCTATAGTTATTTTTTTTCTTGTATCTCAGCACTTCCTTGAATAGGTATTGATTTGTCTTTGTAAGATCATGATTTAGGTTGATAATGTTACCTTCTTCATACCCTAGATCTTTCGAAGTTATCATTTTCTTCTTCCTAGCCTCCAAGAATTCCTCTTTCTCCTTTTCACTGGAAAAACACACTTTTATAGGCAGCTGTCCATTGTGGTTTCGCCCTTTTCCAATTCTGAAGCATTTTGGTTTCTTCAATGTTTGAACTTGCAATACTTCTTCCATTTTCTTCATAATATCTTCGATGTTTTCTCGGTTGTCATACGGTATTCCATCGACAATTATGTTGTTTCTCAGCTCATTTTGCTCATTTTTGTTTTGTTCCTTTCTTAGCTGTGACTTTATCATCAAAATTTCTGATTTCAGAACTTCATTGACTTTAACTTGTTCTTCATATTTGTTGAGTACATCGGTATATTTGTTGTCCATTTCCATCAATTTCTTCATTATATCATTCAGGGTATATTCCTGATGGTATTATTGGTATTCCTATCATTTGAGTTTGATTTTGTAGATTTTGAAGGAATTTTGTTCACAGACGTAACACTCATAACCTCACTCTTTTTACAAGATTCACAATAATATCTTTCCCTTTCTGATTTTTCAATTCACTAGCAAAGTGATTGAATAATGCAGTGGATTGTTTTTCACATTTTGTATGATACCATTTCTGGCATTTTATGCAGTTAATAGCATAAGAATTTTTGCAGGAGTTTGCACAGCTACCGCACGTGTCGGCCATTTTTTGTGTCATATTGATATGCATATCTGTATATTGGAGTTATTTGAATGGCTGGCCAATTTCCTCCTGTTCTTACTCTTTTACCCAAATTGTTTTTTTTTTAGTACCAATTCATTTATATTCAGGAGTTTGCACAGCTACCGCACCTGTCGGCCATTTTTTGTGTCATATTGATATGCATATCTGTAAATTGGAGTTATTTGAATTTTATTTGAATGGCTGGCCAATTTGCTCCTGTTCTTACTCTTTTACCCAAATTGTTTTTTTTTCAGTACCAATTCATTTATATTCATTTCATTTCAGAAAGCAGACCCTACACAGTTCTTGCAAGTACATGGTCGACAATGCAAAATTCATCTAGATCCAAATATAGCTGCAGCGTCTGATAGCGCTGTTATGATGCCTTGGCAAGGCCAATCTGATATACTTATAGATCGCTTCGACGGTCGAGCTCACTTGGACAACATTTTTGTCGTTACAGCGCCAGACGAACCAGAACTATCACAAGAAGATAGACAGATGAATTATGAACGATACCGAATAATTGCTCAGAATTCTTTTTTGGGTATACCAGAGGAAAAGTTTTTGAAACAGTTGCATCTTGAGGAACAGTTCGGATACACTGAAATAAAAAGCAAAAGAGAATCAAGAAATGGTGGTGCCGCAATCGGTTTTAATTACGAGGATATAACAGGTACGTGCAATCAATTATCTCTTGCCTTTCACTTTATCCTGTGTGTTTTTGGATATCTCTTAGCGCCATTATGCTTATTATTTTATCCAACTGAGCACATGTAGTGAATGTATTGCACGAATTTTGTGAACTTTTTTTCGGCAGTGTTTTTTTAAATTTATTTTATAATGGAGTGAATCTTAGATCATTCGGAATGTTTTGCCAACAGCACTCTTAATATTTTGTTTGATAGTGATGTGGAGAAAGCTTATTGATGAGCATTAAATGATATATCCAAAATTCAGGTGTGAAAATTTCAAGGACTTCAAAGACAACAAGGTTAAATAAATAAAAATAAACTCAGTCATTTCCACAAATGTTCATAAAATGAACAGCAATGGTAGATGGGAGAAAAACAACTACTTTCCTGACTAATGCGTCGCAGAACATTGAATTACATCCTCCCGAAATCTATGCATCAATACGTATAAACGAATACTAATGCAAGAGTTTCTCTCCCTAATGCAGATTGATTTCGATTTAGCCAGGTTAACACAACGACACCTACAGACCTACGGACCGGCTTTTGTATTTGTATTTATTTGTATTGTTACGGGCTCAATTGCAGTACATGAAATGATACCGTAGTAACCGAGACAATAGGATGTTTCCATAATTAACTTCAGTACAAACCTTTCAGTTCAGCCAGTACTATGTTTGTTAAATATCACCGTCACTTATGTCATTCTGTTCAATGAATTTGATAGTATAATCCAGATAGACTGTTTGTTTATTTGGTCTTAATTCATATTGTAGCTTCACGATTGAGGTTATCAAGCGGATCAGTTGATCTTCAAGAGTCGAGAGTAGAATCCTCTGATTCTTAGCAGCTATTCTTCTCGAAGGGCTGTTGAGACTGCACAAAGAATTTGGATCAAGACATAGATTAAACGTTACTACGTTATGCTAACAGACATCAATAATAAGTTGAAATAGCTCCATCTAAAGCTTTCTGCAGTCTTACACCCCTTAGAGCTTGATTCTATTTTCTCAACATTCATGGATTATGTCGTGGACCAAGGTAGGTCAAAGTTCATGATTTTAAAGAACAAAATTCACTATTTTATTTCTCTTCAAGAATCTCATCAAAACTCAAGTGTTTCTAGCAATTTTTCAAATCACAAATTTCACCCTAGAATTATCAACTTATCCTCTGTCAATTTCACAGATACAGAAAACTCCTTTTTAGAAAATGGTTCAAAATATAATGTTGATAGATTCAATAATGTCCCCAATTTCAAACTTTCATTTATAGAATGTGAAAGAGTCATTGAAAGTAACATGTTTGCCAATAAGGATTTGTTAGGAAGTGATATTGCCAGATCATTGAATAACAATTTTTTGAAACCTTTTCCTACTCGTTATCTCCACATGTCAGACTACAAAACCAACAAAAATCTTGCCAAAAAAGTTTCCACTAATAATCTAGTTGTTACAAAAGCAGATAAGGGTAATTGCTAAGTTATTTCAGACAAAACAGATTATATTGAGAAAGTATCCAATTTTCTCAGCACTGATAGTTTTTCTGAATTAAATGTTGACCCAACCAAAAAATTTTTCAACACTTTCAAATCTACCTCAAACATTTGCATGGACACTATCACATTCTATGGTTCCTCCAAGTTCAAGCTCACACCAATGAATCCTTCTACCCCTCTACTATATCGACTTCCAAAAATTCATAAAGATAACATACCCATCAGACCTGTTGTTTCATATTGTAATTCCCCTTGTGCCAAATTAGCATCTTGGTTGAACTTTATAATAAAAGAATTATCAGATTTCAGTAATCCCCTTTCATTAAAAAACTCTTTTGATCTTACAAACAAAATTAAGAATTTCAACATCCCCCACAACTTCATTTTATTGTCTTTTGATCTGATCGATTTATTTCCTAGTGTTCCTCCAGATGATTGTATTTCATTAGTGAGAAACCTACTTTTTGATTCTGGCATTTCAACTTTTCACTGTTTGAATTTGTGCTCTCTTTTGGATTTTGTATTAAAAAAGAATTTTTTCCAATTTGATAACACTTTTTATTCCCAAAATTCTGGGCTTGCTATGGGTAGCAATCTCCCTCCTTTATTAGCAGAAATCTTTTTACATTATCTTGAACAAAAATTAAAAGAATTTACACTTTTCAACAAAAGGACCCCGCAAATTTTCAAGGTAATTTGGGTCCCGGTGGATTTTTCTCAATTTTTGGTATGATGTAGTTCATTTGATTCAATTACATATTGGCATTGCTCCAACCCCCAAAAATGAACAGTTTTTTTGCTAGGGGGGGTTGAATTCACATTTTGACCGAATTGATTATTTATTTCTGAGAGAATGAACAATATTCTAGAATTTTTTATTTCATCTAATTTCTCCTATGAATATATGCTCTTTGACAAAAATATAGTGAGGGGGAATTATTACCCCAAACTCCCATTTTGAAAAACGAAAAAAAAAGAGAATTCACCTAACCGTCAAAAGTGATAGAAAATGTTCCATTACCCAGAATTATGGAAACCGCCTTTTTGTATTATTGCCCCTCACCGAATGGGAGGCGCCCATGAAAAAAAGTTCGGTGGATTTCGCTGAATTTTTGATATGATGTACTCTATTTGATACTGATCAGAAAATAATTGGGTGGCAATCCTGAAAAATGGACAGTTTTCCTGCTACAGGGGGTTCAATTCACATTTTGAACACATAAATAGACTAGATGAGTACCTATTTGATTCTGAACTTCTTTTCAATATATCATCTCCATTCCCTATATTCCCTAACAATTATTCATCAAAAAATATTTTGAGGGGGGGTTCCTACCCCTTCAAAAAGTATTTTGAGAAATATAAAACAAAAAAAAACAGTGCTACTGTATCTAAAGAGCATAAGAGAATGATTAATTACGTGAAATCATAGCAAAAGCTCTCTTGCATGATTGCTCCCTCTCCACCAAGTGGGGGGGTGCGCATGAAAAACATCTTTGGTGCATGGATTTACACTGGATTTTTAATATAGGTATAATGTGGTTGTATTCCATGTGATTATGACTGTGATGATGATTGAGAATGAGATAATTCAAATCTGAAAAGATAACAACTTTTCACTTATTATATCTCCCATTGGCTGAAAGACTCAGGTCAATAACCATTTGATTTCATTCGAAAAAAACAATGAATCAGTTTGACAGTTACTAGGATACCTATACCTATCTAAATGAAACAATTGCTCATCCAACTTCCGAGGGCATAACTCACTGATTGATAGAATTGAAATGATGGTTTTTAACGGGATTTTTAATGATAGTAATAATAAAGACTGGGATGGTGACTGTTTGATATTGAAAAGCGGTAACAACAGTAACTTATACCATAGATTTTGATTTCCATTTCATGAAAACGATAGAAATAAACAGGAAATATTTATATCAAGTTCATTGAGTGAAGAATATTTCTTAAATAAGTGTTGGATATATGAAAAAATAGCTTGAATTTGATATCTATTATTTGTTTGAGAGGTGTTGGGATGGGCGAAATAATGAGTTTTTTGTGTTGAAAAAAAAAATAGTTAAAATACATATTACATATTCTGTACCCGTCGAGAAAAATACACATTCTTCTCGAGGTAATATCACAAAGGAGAAATATGAGTTCAACACGCCCTACCGAAAAACTGCTCATTTTTGGTAACCGGTACTGATAATCGGAATCGGATTTGATCGGAATCACAAAAAGCACCTCATAGAAATTCAGTGGGAATCTATGCACCAAAAATGTTGTTCATGCGCACCCCCCACTTGGTGGAGAGGGAGCAATCATGCAAGAGAGCTTTTGCTATGATTTCACGTAATTAATCATTCTCCTATGCTCTTTAGATACAGTAGCACTGTTTTTTTTTTGTTTTATATTTCTCAAAATACTTTTTGAAGGGGTAGGAACCCCCCTCAAAATATTTTTCGATGAATAATTGTTAGGGAATATAGGGAATGGAGATGATATATTGAAAAGAAGTTCAGAATCAAATAGGTACTCATCTAGTCTATTTATGTGTTCAAAATGTGAATTGAACTCCCTGTAGCAGGAAAACTGTCCATTTTTCAGGATTGCCACCCAATTATTTTCTGATCAGTATCATATAGAGTACATCATATCAAAAATTCAGCGAAATCCACCGAACTTTTTTTCATGGGCGCCTCCCATTCGGTGAGGGGCAATAATACAAAAAGGCGGTTTCCATAATTCTGGGTAATGGAACATTTTCTATCACTTTTGACGGTTAGGCGAATTCTCTTTTTTTTTCGTTTTTCAAAATGGGAGTTTGGGGTAATAATTTTCCCTCACTATATTTTTTTCAAAAAGCATATATTCATAGGAGAAATTAGATGAAATAAAAAATTCTAGAATATTGTTCATTCTCTCAGAAATAAATAATCAATTCGGTTAAAATGTGAATTCAACCCCCCCTAGCAAAAAAACTGTTCATTTTTGGGGGTTGGCGCAATGCCAATATGTAATTGAATCAAATGAACTACATCATACCAAAAATTGAGAAAAATCCACCGGGACCCAAATTACCTTGAAAATTTGCGGGGTCCTTTGTTTCTGGTATAGATATGTGGATGATTGTTTGGTCCTTTTTGATGGTACACTTGCGGATGTACACCTTCTTCTTGATTTTCTGAACAAGTTACATCCTTGCATACAATTCACAATGGAAATTGCAAATAATAATTCACTCCCTTTCTTAGATTTATTGATCAACATAGACAATGGCCAGTTTACTTCATATTAAGAATGATGGCCGCTGCTAAACAGCATGTGTCTAAGTGCTCCTCCAAAACAAGTGAATTCGTGTTTCTGTGTTGCAATAAAAAACCTAAAAATGGTTACTATATATGTGTTAGGTGTCATGGAGTGTTCCACGTAAGTTGTTATGATAGGATTGCTCCAGAAGCATACAAAAACAATTACAAACTTGTATGTAAGGAATGTGATATTTCTGAAAATCACAATGATGATGAGTTTTATTTGAAACTTATTGAGGAGTTAAGAATGGAAGTTATGCATAAAGACGAGACAATTGATAAATTGAAGAAAAAATATGACTTATTCTATGAAGAAGCTATAACTATGGAAAACGACTTCGTGAGTAAAGTTCAAAATCATGAAAAAACTATACATAAATTGCAAGAGAATCTGATGAATCTCAAACGCGAATGTACGAATAAAAACAGTAAAGTTCTTATCAGCATCAAAACCCAGACGGAGAAAAAACAGACTGAACAAAAAAAGTTGGACACACAAATAAATGATGATTCTGAGGTTTTTGATCAAACTGGTGAATATAATGATACAATGTTGCCTAATGAAATGAATTTACCTGAGGATCAACCAAATGAAACAATTTCGAAAATGAAAACTGTCAAACAAAAGAAGAAGGAAAAACCAATGAAACGATTATCCAACAGAAGAAGAGAATATAAAGGAGAGATGCAGATGATTTTGAGAAACAACATCAAAAAACGAAAGAAGCAAGAAAATGACAGCGCACTGGCGATCAACAGTGTTGTAATAGAAGAACAGGAGGCTATGACTACTGAAAATTTCGTTTCTTTCCCTGATGAAAATGTATTCAATATTTCAAATGACACAAGCTCTACTGTAAATCCAGTTTCAGAAAAACTAAACCAACTATCGCTCATGGAAGAACTAGAGAACGTAAGCTGTCTCGAGAATGTTGCAAGTGTTGTTAACAATGAATTCATGAACACACATAATCTAAGGATACCAGATGAATCAGAGGCACCACATCTATCCCTTCCACTGAGAATAATCCACATATGTGGAGACCAGTATGCTTCAGGTTTTTCCAAGGTTCTTACCAAAATTGATATCGAACATAGATGCTGTGTATATGAGAAAATAGAAAACGTTGCAGAGATCTCCGATCTTACAAAAAATGTATTCGCCGAAACTATGAACTACGATAGGGAAGATTTGATAGTGATCATGTTCAGTACTAAAAATGTAAGCAATAGGCACTCTCTATATCAACTTTTAAAAAATACACTAGGTCTCAGCAACTTCACCAACCTGATAATAATAACAGAGTGTCATTCTGTAGATGACAAAAATATCAATAGGATTATTTACAATCGAATCAAATGTTTTAAACGGAATAATAAGAGCTGTTCCTTGACTCTTCTAGCTGGCCAAGAACAGAAAGGTAGTAAATTTGAAGTGATTGAAAAATTAAAGAGAACTCTTTCATATATCTCGAATCGCAAACATAACTTTGCTATGAAAAATGTAAACAGAATTGAAATCAATCCAAATGAATCATTGCAGTTTTTTCGAGGTGAATTCTCGTTCCAAGAACATCCCAATCAAAACCCCCGTCAAACAGTTCTCTAACTTACAAACGATTCACCAACAAAATACTTCACTGATTCTATTGAATATTCAATCTGTTCGTAATAAAATCGATGAACTTTCGATATTTTTGGAATTTGAGAAATTTCCAACATTTTTACTTTTGACTGAACATTGGCTACTAAATGATGAGCCATGTTTTATTCCTGATTATCTCATCGTCTCGAAATTTTGCCGAAAACAAATGTCACATGGAGGAACAATGATCCTAGTACACAAAAAAATGTCGGATGAGTATCCATTAGTTGATGTGCATAAGTATAACGATATGTTGGTTGAAGGTGAATTCGAATTTTCAATAGCTCACAATAAGAAAAATAATTTGTATATTATCTGCCTGTATAGAGCGCCTTCTGGTGTAACAAGGGATACATGCACATTTCTTGAAAGACTGGAAATACTTTTGACAAATCTACCAGTCAAATCAAAAATTATTCTTGCAGGAGATTTCAATATAGACTTTTCTCAAAATTGCATATCTACTAGCTCTCTGCAAAATTTATTCATCAGCTTCAATCTAATAATGCATATTGATGAACCAACTAGAATTTCAGACAAATCTTCTACGATGATTGATTATGTTTGCTCAAATTTCAATGAGAACACATCAGATACGAGAGTTATTCCTGCAGGTTTATCTGATCATGAAGCAATTCATTTCAATTTTTCACTTCATAGAGAGAACATAAATGTTAAATTCAGAGAAGGTCGAATATTCAGTAAAAAAAATTATGCCAGATTCAAACAATCATGTGAACAGACAAATTGGAACAATATAATAACAGCTTCTGATCCTGTTACTATCTTTCAAGGAATTGTAATGAATAAATTTGATGAATGCTTCCCATTGAGAAGATTGAAAATAAAGAACAAAAAGCCTTGGATAACAACATGGACTTCTTGGCTCACCAAAAAATTTTACATCCTCAACAATTCGGTTTCCAACCTAACAAAAGTACTGGAGATGCAATTTTTCATTTTCTAAAAAATGTATACTCAAATCTAAATTCGAAAGAAGCAAGCGCCGCAATATTTTGTGATTTGTCAAAAGCATTTGACTGTGTGAATCATGAAATATTGCTTCGTAAGCTCCACCATTACGGGATCAGAGGCCAAAGCCATTACTGGTTCGAGTCTTACTTAAGCCAAAGAACACAAGTTGTAAAGACCAACAGTTTTTCCAATATAGGTTTTATTAAACATGGTGTACCTCAGGGCTCTGTGCTTGGACCTATCCTGTTCTTGTTATATTTTAATGACCTTGCGAATATTAAGACTGAAGGTGTATTCACTATTTTCGCAGACGACACAACGATCCTGTGGCATGATCAAAACCCTAACAAACTTTTTAGTAAAATGTCTAGGGATATTAACGCTGTGAGAGAGTGGTGTAACTCGAATCAGCTTTCATTCAACACTAACAAAACGAATCTCTTATCATTTCAATGCGATATACCGGATATTTCCCTGGGGAATGATATTATTTCATCTAATAATTTCAACACCTTTTTAGGGATTCACTTAGACTGTAAACTCAAATTTGAAGATCATGTTCGTCATCTTAGTAAAAAGCTGTCCAAAGGGTGCTATGCTCTACGTGTTATCTCAAGAGAATTGGGTGAGACAACTGCAAAAGTAGTTTACCATGCCTTATTTGAGTCTCATGTCAGGTATGGTATCCCCTTTTGGGGTACCTGCAACAAACAGTGCTTCAACATAATATTCACTCTCCAGAAACGTGCAGTACGCTATATCTGCGGGGTTGGACCTCGAGTATCATGTAAAGAACTTTTCAGAAAGCAAAAACTCCTCACCATTCCATCTCTTTTCATTCTCGAATCGGTATGCTTAGCACATAAAAAATAAATCAACATATGATACCATTTCTGGTTCTACCCGCCAAAATAACAACCTAAGGCTACCCATTCCAGCTTCCAATTTGATCAAAAACTCCATTATTTATAATGCTGCAAAACTATATAACCATCTTCCTGCCAGCATCAAAACCATTGAATACCTCCATTTATTCAGGAAATCGGTTAAACTCATTCTTATGGATGAAGTATTTTACGAAGTTCAAGATTTCCTCAATAAAAACATAAGTGGTTGAATTAGTTAACATTTTAATATTTTTTAATATATATTATTCAACCATTCATACATTTTTATGTGATATTTTGATTAATTGACGAGTTATTTTTAACCAAATAATGTAATTATTTTTAAATAATTAATGTTTTTATTTTTAATCTTGACAATGTGATATTCAATTATATATATTTTTTACTTTATAATTACCCTGTGTTATCTTTGTGGTAACGCAGATAGTATTTTTTTGTTTGATTGTTTGTGTGTTTCTATAAATATTTATTAATTCTTTTTAACTACATGCTTATTGTTAATTTCATGTTCTATGTTGAATATTTAAATGTATGTTTCTTTCTTTTATTAGAATCTAACAAACAATTGTAAAATATCTATATTTTTAATATTTGTAGTACAAGCTTTGTCAATAAGATGTATGTCTTCGACAATAAAGCATATTTTTGATTGATTTGATTGATAACAGGTTTGAAAGTTTCTGCCAAAAATCTCAGATCTCTGCGTACAATCAAAAAATTTACAACAAACATAACTTTTCTGGAATATTTTAATAAATATAGGAGTATCTATAGAAATCTGATAAAAATTGTTAAGAACAATCATTACTCGGACAGAATTGTACAATCAAACAACAAACCTAAAGAGAAGTGGGCAATCATAAATGAATTACGTGGGAAAGGAAGTATCTCTACAGCAGCGGAAATTATCAACATTGATCCAAATACCTTAAACGACTATTACTGCTCTATTGCCAAAAATATTACAGCCAATCTAACATCCCAAATCGATCCTTTGAGCTATCTTGATAACACCCACTGTCATACTCATTTTATGTTAATGCCTACAAATGTTCACGAGGTAAAACAAACATTCATGGAAATTAAGAACGATAAGTCTTCTGGATTGGATGGATTAACTAGAAGACTATTAGAAAACCTACCATTCAATGCGCTATCTGTCCTTGCAGATGTGATTAATAAATCTTTTGAAACTGGATCAGGCTTGAAGACGGCACTTGTTTTGCCTCTCTTCAAAGGAGGTGACACAACCAGTCCTTCAAACTTCAGACCCATCTCGTTGTTGTCCACCATTTCAAAAATCATAGAAAAATTAGTGAAGACAAGATTGATGCAATTTCTATCCAATGAAAATTTACTAAATGAATCTCAATTCGGGTTTCAGAATTCAAAAAATACTGATGACGCAATTTTCTCATTCTTGGAAAAGGTTTACATGAATTTGAATGAAGGAGAATCCATTGCAGCAGTATTTTGTGATTTTTCAAAAGCCTTCGATTGTGTTAATCATGAAATACTGCTGCGAAAAATGCACCGATATGGAATCAGAGGAGCATGTCTCAACTGGTTTAGGTCATACCTCGAGAACAGATCACAGATAGTAAGAGTAGACAATGTATATTCTAATCTATCGAATATAAATTGTGGTGTACCCCAAGGATCTGTTTTGGGCCCTATTTTATTCTTACTTTACCTTAACGATCTCGCTACAATAAATATTGAGGGATCCTTCACAATTTTTGCAGACGACACCACATTAACATGGCATGGAAAAAACCCTGAAATCTTGAAGGAAGTGGTTCACACAGATTTATTAAAAGTAAAGGAATGGTGTGATTCAAACTTCCTTTGCTTTAATGTGGATAAAACTAAAATTGTTAATTTCAAATTCAGCTATGATAACTTGCTACTAGATGGTATCAATATAAAAGAAACATTTTGCACTAAGTTCCTCGGCTTGCATATTGACAATAAGTTGAAGTTCAATGAACATATCACATTATTATGTAAGAAAATAGCTTCTGGATCATTTGCCGTCAGAATTGTCGCTAATGAACTCGACATATCCACAGCCAGATTGACTTACTTCGCCCTCGTTGAGTCCCATTTACGATATGGCATTGCATTTTGGGGATTTTGTAGCCAAAAACTCCTCAATCAGGTCCTTGTGCTGCAGAAGAGATCTTTGAGATATTTGTGTAGGGCTAACAACAGAGATAGTTGTAGACATCATTTTATACAGCTATGAATTTTAACTGTAGTGAGCATCTTCATTCTCGAAGTAGTATGCCTGATTCACAAAAGATATGTTACTAATTCACCTGAAGTTGATAGACCTTATAATACCAGACAGAGACAAAACTGTGATATTCACCTGCCAATACCCAAACTCAATTTAACAAAACACTCAAATATGTATGAAGGGAAAAAATGTTCAATCACCTACCACATTCCACTAAGAATATTCTAGATCATAAAATATTCAGAAGATCAGTTAAACATCTGCTTCTCGAAAAAGCATACTATAGCCTGCAGGAATATTATGCTGACGTGCCTCAATAAATAACACATTTAAAACTATTGTTTGTATATATATTTATTCACTTATTTTAATGGATATTTTAACGTGTTTCCTTCCTAGTTTTCCTAATTTTTGTATGACTCTGTATATTCATGCAGTCTAATTTTGTATATAGTTTTATTTTGATGCAATTGCATCGATAGTATGCAAGGTGAGCCCTTACCCTTGATTTTAATTTATTAGTTTCTAATTATTTATATCTATATATGTATGTATTTGTTTAAAATTGTTATTTGCTTCTGACACATTGTACAATATTCGTATTGTTCATATTACTTTGTCAATGAGAATTCATTCTTGGACAATAAAGTA